TCTAAGAAAAATTTGTTATGCTTACGATTTTTCCAATGTTACTTATGACTTTATTTTCATCAAAAGCTGTTATCATCTAAAAATAATTACTGGTATTCAGAAAAGATTGTCTATGACTCAAATAGATCAAGACTACAATGTTCATATTATATCATAACAATTTGATCCCTACTTGAATTGAGAATGCGCTCTGCGGATGAATCCCATAGTGAGACGAAACAGCTATTCAATCCTTCCTGGTTTTCAATCGTTATAAATCTTAGGCCGGTTTGTGATCTCAATAACACTCGGTAATCTATAAAAATCCTCTATAATTATATTTACATAAAGTTGAAAATGTTTGTTAATGACATAAGATAATGATAATGCTATTTGAAGTTGATCAAAGTTCATATCAATTATGGATTTTATTGTGATTTCAATAAACTAAGAAATTAACTAACAACTAGTGTTAATAAAACTTTATCAATCTTACTAAACTGTTGAATGAATAAATACTAATGTAAAAACAAAACAACACATTTTACCGGTAAAAGCACATTAAAAACGCTACATACAACAAAATAAATGGTGATTAAACTATTATAACCATTAATCTCTACAGGTATGTAATGATATCAGAATCAATCAGTTTACTATGCATTATGATACCCTGAAATGTCGATGACTTTCTATGTTAATAGTTTCATAGTTCTATCCTTGTTATATGCTTTAGTCATATTGATTCAATTCTATCCTAATATTAAAAATGAAACAATATTGAATGATGTTTATTAGTTTGTCAGATGTTTTATTGGGATACATCGTCGTTTTGCTATTTACTGATTAAATGCTGTAACTACAGTCAAATGATTATTTACTATGTTTTTCGAAACAAATAATCACCATCTGTCTATCCTAGTACCATACATTTATTACAACAGCAATTTGACTATTGATCTGTGTTTGTGAGTTTATTTTTGAGAAATATTTTTCTCGTCTTTTTACTTATATTCATACAGGACAAATATGTGTATCTACCTACAAGCACTATTGTAAAGATGGCGACTACATCAGATTGAATTAGTTAACACGAAAGGTTATTGATAATTTTTTCTTTTTTTTTAACAACAACCTATCAATATCATCCTTAAAATCTTTACCGTCATCATTATAATCAAATCATTTCTCTTTGTAACATCATATTAGTAAATGGAGAAAGGAAGAAATAAATATAAAGAGATAGAATTCTAGTGACCACGCCTCATAAGTGCTATGACCTTTAAGTGAAAAGATAAACAAAATATTTATTTTTTTTCACAAAGCTATTGTGTCAATTTATATATTTTGAATTCATAATACACGCGATAAGGTCCCAGTTGATGAATTACACTAAACTAATGGATAGATTTATTCCTTTTTGTAATTTTAAACTTGTGCCATCTTAATATATGAATATATGGAATCAATTTGTAAATAATCGTGCATGATTTTTTTAAACAAACAAACAAAATCCTACCCGCATATGATAAAGTTTATTTCTACTAACTGTTTCAAATTCATCTGTATTTGTTTCAGTAGTGTATGCACTGTTCTACACATTATTTCCCTCTTTTATTCTTTCATATTAGTGACCTTGATGATAAGTTACTGACTCAGTATGAGCCCTTATTTCTTTCTATTGGTTATAATTTAATTTATAAAGAATACAATAATAAGCCTTTATATCTTTTTCATATATTTCAATTATTTTTAAAGGAACGGTTATATTGAATATATTTTAAAGTCCAGTTCTGATGACATCCTTGAATGAAGTTATATAAATAATATTCTTTTCGCCTCAGGAATAAATTACCCTTAACCTATTTGACTTGATAGTTATTAATGGGATTTTGCAATTACTTTTTCTCTATTGAATTATTTTCTCCTATTAGTTATTTTTTTAATTTCATTTCTTTCCCCAGTTTCATGTCTTTTTGTTATATACATATACACAATTAATTTGAGAATTATTACATGCTCATAATATTAAATTCATTTAGTATTTCACAGGTTGAAATCATGAGTCAGTTGAAGCTAGACCACCATTGAAAACCTGGAAACACTGGACGGCCGTTTCGTCCTGGTATGGGACTCCTCAGCAGTGCGCACCCACGACCCCGCACCACGCGGGGCTCGAACCCAGGACCTACTGGCTTCGCGCGCGAGCACTTAACCACTAGACCACTGAGCCGGCATTCAACGGTGTTAATGTCTAACTTCAACCAATCCACGAAGTTGCGCCACCGTACACCATTGTCTTCAGTGAGTTGTTATCTCACAACAGACCGGTTGAACTCCACTGGTAACGGCTTCTCACTAGAACTTCAGGAGTTTTTCCTGAAGTCAGTCACTAGTGAGCAGTTGATTATTATTATTATCAGAATGGGTTTTGTGGAGAATTTTAGAAATTTCACAGGTTGAAATCATGAGTCAGTTGAAGCTAGACCACCATTGAAAACCTGGAAGCACTGGACGGCCGTTTCGTCCTGGTAAGCACTTAACCACTAGACCACTGAGCCGGCATCCAACGGTGTTAATGACGAAACGGCCGTCCAGTGCTTCCAGGTTTTCAATGGTGGTCTAGCTTCAACTGACTCATGATTTCAACCTGTGAAATTTCTAAAATTCTCCACAAAACCCATTCTGATCATTTAGTATTGTTTACTTGAATCTTCTCATTGATGTTTAGGACTGCATTTGATCAGTTCAGTGAATTAAGGCAATATTGAGGTAATATGCACAAGTTGCACATATGCTAATAAAAGACTGATCGATTGCAGTCCTAAATATCAACGGGAAGATTGAAGTAAACAATACCAGATGAATTTAAACTTCACCCCATTGCACAAGCAAATGGCTATCAGGACTCAGTAGCTAAGTTGACAACGTTATGGCGTTTGAAATGAACGGCACTGGGTTCGAGTCCCGAGGTGAACATTAACTATGTGATGCAGGTACATGCAGCTGATGGGTCCCAAACAGGACGAAACACGCGTCCTGGATTCCGTTGCTAGCCACAATACTTGTAATATTGTTTTAAAAGATTGTAGTTATCTAATAGAGGCAACTTAAATAAAAAAATATAATCATTATCTTTATGATCAATCATCTCAGGTTAATATAACGAACAGGATAGGGTGAAGCTCAATAAAGTTAAATTAATATTTGAACAGATATTAGATCATTCTGAAAATTAGAAAAAAATTGTTTATCTACAAGGGATTTACTGGATGAACATATTTGATAAAAATATCACTGCCATGCTATATCAAATTGAAGTTCGATAAAAAAACACATGATCTCATCATTTCGTTGTTAATAACTGAATAAAAAAGATAAATTGTAGTTATTTTAATGTATATTGTAAATGATCCTGATCTAGATATATCTGATGACTTAGTTGGATCACTGTCAGAGTAGATATTAAGAGAAAGGGACATTAGGTGTCATAAAATACATATTTAATATATGCATTGAATTGATTGCAATTCATTTAGTTGGAAATGTCTTTCAAATCAATGAAGTTCATGACTTTGCAAAAATCATTTTACCCACACTACTTAGTTTGTCAGTCACAGATGTTACAAAGTTAAGAAACTGAGATGTAGCGAGATCTTGTGTAAGACGGATTTTCATATGATAGTTAAACAATGTAGAAGAACTAGGATTATTCTGATAGAATATTTTGATGATTGTTCATTAGAAATAACTAAGAGATCTGGAACCCTCTAGGTACAATTCATTTTTCGATAATTTAAATGAAATGAAAAAAAAATATTGGCACGAAATGTAACAAGGTTTAGCTGTGGTGAATAATGAATGCAACAGATAATTTATATTAAATCTGAATTGTGACTAATAATGCCAGTTGAATGTATCAACATCCTAGTGTTGGTGTTCACACTGAAATTCGAGCCTTGTACCTGTCGTTTCAAACGCTAGCGTGTTATCCACTGATCTACTGAATCTAGGTATTTACTAACTTGTTCACTGGGTATGAAATTATTTCCAAGGGTTTATATTTTCTCATTGCCATTATTAATGACTGAAACAGGTCTCATCTTGAACATTAACATTGTGATATAGGTGCGTCTAACTGACTCATGAATAATTCGACAAAACACCAATTATTAAGGATGGTTTTGAAAATAGTATATATTATTATGAGACTGATGAAATAATTGTAAAAAATGGTTTAGATCTTGTGTTTAGTGATAGACTGATTCTTCATAAGGCAAATTTATACAACCTTTTTTAAACATTTTTTATTTCTGTATTGCTAGTATTCATTATGAATGATTAAGTTCTTCACCGGACTTGTGATCAATAACTCTATTACAATCCTTATTTGGAAGTGAGAAAACATTCTTACGTAACAATCAATAATTTAGTAAAGTTAAAATTTGCTATAATTTTCTATGATAAGATAAAGAATATTCCAAGACTCAATACTTTGGAATATAAAAAAATCTATTCTTTACCAAAAAGTCTTACTCCCTATCAACCGAGAACCGACAAATTACTATCAAATGAGAGAAAAAACAACATTAAAAGCCATTGTTAATTAACGCCCGTTCATAAATTGTCAAATATAACTTATCTTAACACTTGACCAGATGTACTCCATGTAATCTATCAGTGAGGACCTTTAATGTGTCCCTATAGATTGACTATGGCATGTCCGAAAAAGTATACATTTACACCATATTTTTAGACTAGTCTATTTGTTCAGAGTCAATATGCAGGTCATTGTTTTAGGATTTTCTTTCAAAAACTTTATATTAGATTAAATCTTCTTCTGTAGTAACTTATAGATACGTCAAAAAAACTTTAACAGGAAGTGTCGAATCAATACTGAAAGTTAAGATGATTTGGAAAAGTCAGGAATCCAATTAAATATTTTTATAGAATCTATCAAATTTCTCTAGTCAAACATTTTCAAATGTTACCCTTAATTTTCTCTCATATTAACCAATTAGATTCACAACCATCTTCTCCTGGAGAATCTGAAGCTGTTTCTCCAGTTGCACCGGGTTGTTACAATCCTCGTTATCCTCATCATCACCATCATCATATGCTAGGACCAAATTTATCCTGTCATCCTGGACCAACGGATATGGTAATTTTGTTTTGTCTTTTCCGGTTATTCAAATTTAAATTTAGTTTCAATTTTTTTCAAATGTACATTATTCTGCTGTTATAGAACAACAACAGTTGTATACAAATTCACACTTGGTTTTTCAAGTTTCAAATAAGTTTATATGAGAGGATAGTTTATGTCAATCATTTATTGTTTGTATATTTGTATGTGTAAATGAATTCATGACTTAGTTAGGAATGTTTATGCATGTGCTTACTTGACAACATTTCAAGCTAAATACAGTAGGCATGGAGTCACTTCTATTATTGATTCCTGTTTATTCACATAAATCAAGTTAGATTTATGCTTATAAACATTAATTATAAACAATATATATACTGTGCAAATGCTACTGCTACTGTGGTGTATGTTACTCATGTCTGTCGACATAAGTAGTATGAAATATCAATCAGAAGTGGAAGAATAAAATAAGGAGAAAAGAGAAGGAAAACAGAAAGGAATTGGAATACAAACTGAATTGGAGGAATCATGAATGAAGTAAAGGACAACTGAAAGATGTGCAAATGATGCATTTGATGTATGATTTTCACATTTTACTTACTGTGTGATTGTGTATCAATCATCAACCTGGTCTTCCACATTTGGGTGTTCATTCACTGATACTGCTAATTATTTTTCAGCAAAATACCAACGATTGTAATTGTAAACCGGAGTTTTAAGATTCTATTTTCAGTTGATTACTCGATCATGGAATCAATCAGTATAAAATCAAAATATAAGCACCTTTTTATAATTGATTACTTGAAATAGGTGCTAAACGTTACTTAAAAAAAAACCAGAGAACCTTAAGCACAGCCGGTATCAGTTTAATTACACTTAACATATACGAGACAAATATGAAACAGTTACTCTGAAAGTTTTAAATTTCTCTGATCATTTTTCCGACATGAACTTCTAAAGAATTTGGTCTTTACAAACTTATCGTTTTTTTTCAAAGCCCTAGTAAATATTAAGAAGTCATTGAGTCAATAGTTGAGAAGTTAAATTAGTTGAGCTTATATTTATTCCATAACCTAGGTTACTAGACAATAAGCTGTATATCCAATATGCTATTTCTTGTGGAATTAGAGTGAGCGTCACCCAGAAAACGATGTTACCATTGATTTGTTCAGTCACTGACCAGCCTCGAGTAGGATTATAATAAAATGACAAAATATTTCACACTTGGTCTCGAATGAACCTTCTTCCGGCGTTCTAAAAAAAGAATTAGTACTTTACGGTTCGATGTCAGATGTATATGGATATAATTGCGTCAAGATATGACCAAAATTAATCAAATTTTCAAATGTTTTGCAGTTTGTCCATGGAAATATGAGTTTACCTAATCAACACTAAACTTATATGAATTCTCAATAAAAAAAAGTATCAAAAGACAATATCATATCCAGAGTGAAAATTAAAATTTGTTATCTAATGACCTATGATTGATGCTTATAAATGTTGTCCAGCATCTAAATTATGGGTACACATAAAAGTATTTAAGTTACGAACACTACTGATATGTGTTCTATATTTTCTAATTATTAACTTAAATTGTCGTATAGTTCGGTGTTACCAGAAATAAGTAAGTATTAGTACAGGCGATCATTAAATATTCATAGCTTTGATAACGGATTGATCTTAATTGGATAACCGTTAAAAATTAGGTAGTACTGGACATATGTTCCATTTTAAAGTTTGTGATAATGCATGAACATCTTGAAGTTGGACATACACATAATTCAATTCCAGCTTAGTGGTTAAGTGTTTGCACGCGAAACCGAATGTCTTGGATTTTATTTCATGTGATGGATGCTTACTACTGAGAAGTCTCATATTCGGGTGAAATAGTTGTTCAGTACCACGTGATTTACGTTGGTTGTTCAACTAAGATCAATCGGTAACGTGAATTATGAAAATAAGTAAATATACTGAGCCGAATTCCAAGATGACCAGATCCTGCTAAATACTTATTACTAACAATATTGGTTGCAAAAAATATCATGATGTGTAACTTTGAATCTGCGGGTTTGAATTAATGTACTTCTGCTGTTTTCCTGACAAATTTATGCTTATAACTATGTTATAAATACTAAAGTCATCTAACCATGGTTTTATCGAACTGACATGTGAAGAATTGAATAATTTGTTGATAGACCTCGATTTGATATGATTTCAGTAAGAAGTTCAACAAATACTTTACTACAACAATCTTTCTTATATTCCTATTAGATACTCAATTTGATGCAGACATGTTTAACCGGGTACACAGTTGAAATCGAAACATTCACAACACTCGTTTAATTAAAAAAAACCCACATTAGAGTTAACAAGTTATAACCTTAACTAGATAGTAATTCAATACTCAACAACCATTATTCCTACGGAAGCTGCTTCAACTTTTTCGGTCAGAAAGCTATAAAATACAGAAGCAATATAGTAGTGAATAAAGACTACCGTTCATTATTGACTGTAACTGTAATAGGAATACTAGTTTCAACATACCAAACAGTTGAATATAGCCCATAAAATAAATACGGACAACTGATTTCCTATTCAAGACTTAAACCTAATAGATTAAACAATATACATTGACAGTATATGAAGCATAAATGTCTGTATATAAGTAGATGAATAAATGTCAATGTAACTAGAATTCACATATATATCAAATGATCTAGTTCATTTATCATAACACTTTTAACAAATTCATTTCCACAAAAATAGAAAATACATCTGATTAGGGCTACTCGTATTTCGTTTTTTTTTATTTGGAAAAAAACGCTTCCTACACAGTAGGTGGCCATAGAGAATGTAAATGTTCTTCCCATATGATTCCATTACTTACTACTTTATACGTTAACTTTTCTCTATTTTATAAAATAAATATGGTTGAATAGAGGAGGATTTATATAAACAAACATTGACTTTTAAATTTCAATATGCAAATTCCTTTTTTTCTTGCATACACACACAATCTATGCACGCATTCATGGGAAGTTCAGTTACAAGAAGCCTATGAATGCATACTAATATTCTTGAATATAACAAACTACATAGTTAAGAATATATGGTAGGTTTTTCTATTCTGCTATAAAGTAACGTACATTTTTAAAATCTGCATTTAATCTATGAAGACATTTAATGACAGTTTTCTATGAGATTGTCTCATTCAACGACAGATATATTGAAAAATAAGTTTATTAGTTAATTCTACCATAACTATATAACCATCAAAATGTCTTTGTAGTTGACTGATGAATGAGATTGCTAGTTGGATGGACTTAAAGAAAAGAAATTCTGATATCACTAATCACACTTTCATAGAATACTTTATTTGTGATTTCTATCAATTTGATCTAATAAATCAATACACTTATCCGGAATTTTCAATGGTTGAAATCAATTGAAGTTAGACCATTATGGAAAACTTGGAGACACTGGACGGTCGTTTCATCCTGTTGTGGGACTCCTCAGCAGCGCGCATCTACGATCCCGTCTTGAGGGATTCGAACCCAGGACCTATCAATCTCACAGGGTGGGACTGTGTTCTCACTGTTGAGGAGTCCCATACTAGGACGAAACGGTCATCCAGTGCTTCCAGGTTTTCCATGGTGGTCTAGCTTCAATTGACTGAAGATTTCAACTATTCAAATGTCTAAAATCTCCACAAAACCCCTTCCGATTATCCAGAATTGTTTGAAGAAAAAGAAAACTGTCTTGACTGATTGGTGAAAGTGTTGCTAAATTTAGTACTGATATCTTGGAATCAATCCCCCACAACTAAAATTAATCAGGAATGCATGACATTCTTTACAGACGAGGGACTTCAAAGAATTTACAAACAAAAGCTACTTCTATGGATAGATAAACCTAAATTGGAAGATAAAGTATATCATTTCATTCATTTAGTTGTGAGTAACATTTCGCCAATGTACCATAGTTTATCCACCAGAAACTTTAAAAACAAAAGTTTTCATTCTTTCATCATAGCAAGAAAAGCTACCTATAAATGAATGTTTATTTTAATCTACAGTAATATCCGAATGAGCAGAAAATTGAATTCTTTTGACACTTCACTACATAATATAAATCGTTTCTTCGAAGAACAAATAACTTTTTCATGTTAACACAAGTTCCATTGATACGAGGAACAAACCAACTCAAGTATTTTGTGCATGTATAGAAATCTGTTAATATAAATACCATTTCCATGCCATAACAGAACGATGTTGTTCATGGTAGATAATATATAATACATATAGTTTTTTTAAAAACAAACTAACAAGGCACGTATTCCACCTGAGAAATCCGATTAAACACTCAAGTGACATTTTGATAGAATATTCTACTTGGATGTCCAGAATAATTTATTTAGCTTTGATATCTAAAAATCTAAATGTCTAAGCAACTATCGGTAGCCTATACTAAGAGTACATTATGCATTTATGACAACGGTAACAAACCCGTAAAATGAATTTTTCCCTTTTCTGAAAACTTCTTCAAATTAATACATTATGTAACTTAGAAAAATTTCCCCTATCATATGTAGTTTTAGTAAGAAAGGGATCCTGTCTGTGTCTCATTTGTTTTTTGAGTTAGAGGGACACGAGAATGCTTTATTTAATTTACCGTTTTAATTTGTGCACGTTACATCATGTCTATTAAGCACAAGGCCAAGTATTAAAACGGTATTCTCTACTATATAATTTAATCATCATTAGAATAGATGAGAACGAAAGATTTTAACATTAATTCTCCTGATGTTAAACTACTGAGTACTAGCTATTATCGCAGAATGAAACTGTGTGTATCATAAATCGCAATCTCTCTATAAAAATATGCATTAAACACCGGGATCAAATATTTTGAATCCATGACAGCAACTATACATGACTAATAGTAATTTGCACACAAGAACTATATACCGTTTTTAAGCAATTTAAAGATACTTTAGTTGGAGTTTTATAATGGGGTTCTTTCTTATGACGTAGGATTACTAGCTCTAAATCCTACTCTGCTCCTTTATCTGTCTATGGAACCGTCAGTAACCCTAGAGGAGCTCCCAGAAGAAATAACAAACACTAAAGCAACACCAAAAACAAAGTATTTTTGCTGGACTTCTTTGGAGAAATGATTTACACTATGTGATGAAGTGTCAAACATTTAATTTTCTACTCATTCGGATATTTTCAATTTTATATTATCAGAAGGGGTTTGTGGAGATTTTTAGAAATTTTCACAGATTGAAATCATGAGTCAGTTGAAGCTAGACCACCATTGAAAACCTGGAAACACTGGAGTTCAACCAGGTCTGTTGTGAGATATCAGCTCACTGAAGACAATGGTATATGGTGGCACAACTTCGTGGATTGGTTGAAGTTAGACATTAACACCGTTGGATGCCGGCTCAGTGGTCTAATGGTTAAGTGCTGGCGCGCGGAGCCAGCAGGTCCTGGGTTCGAATCCCGCGGGTGCGGGGTCGTGAATGCGCACTACTGAGTAGTCCCATACTAGGACGAAACGGCCGTCCAGTGTTTCCAGGTTTTCAATAGTGGTCTAGCCTCAACTGACTCGTGATTTCAATCTGTGAAAATTCTATATTGTTTTTTTAACCTCATAAATCGTGCGTAATGGTTAATTTATTTCAAACTATCAAGTTAAATGTTGATAATGGTAATTATGTATCATAATTAACAAGCTTTTACTTTTGTTCAACTTTCAAGATTCCACCAGGATATCAACGTCATTTATCCAGTCGACTAGATGATGAATCTTTATGTGGTTCATCTGATGTAGAAAATCTCCGTTCAGATTGTTTACATTCCAATTCACTTCCCAATATTCGCACAGGTTATGATATGAATGGATCATGTTATACACCAAATTTTCATATGGCTAATTATAATTCACCTTATTTTATGGATAAATCTATTGTTCAAGATGGTTCAGTTTCATGTGATGAGTCACTATCCCAGCTGCATTCATTTCTTTCACCATATGGATCAACTGCTTTAAACAGTGCAGCATTTCATGCTAGTTTGGATGGATTATGTGTCGGTGGAAAACAAAAACGTGGTGTACTTCCTAAACGTGCAACTCAAATTATGAAACAATGGCTATTTCAACATCTTGTAGTAAGTCAATGATTAGATTTGGAACTCTAAACTATTAAATTTCACACTTTAATAAATTAAAAGAAAAAAAAATCATAATTTTAACAAAAATTGGTGCCAACTATTGTATTGTAGCTGACTAATAGGGAAAACTACATGGTATCTTTGAGTAGTTATCATTATCTCTTCAACAGAATGTCATCATCACTTCTCGTCTACGTTCTAATGTTTTGTCTAAATGAGATTTAAGTTGCTAGAAAGAGAAGGCGATAGAAGAATTATGAAGTTCATTCTATTTTACTCAACTACATTATTCAATGGACGATGTGATAACCTCAATTTCTATGTAACTTAAAAATGTCTAATCATAAAATGTGATCGTTTATCTTAATATAATCACTTGTCTTTAACACTAGAACAAAATTCTTGGTGCATATTGATCGATGAGTTTAACTTTCAACTGCAAGATAACCTCGAAAAGATATTTCAGTCAGTAAAACAGTGATGATTTATCTTTTGTTGATAAAAGGGAAATGTAAAAAACTTTTCCAGTTTATTGTTTGATTACTGTGTTGAATGAATTTTGTTCATTCAGTATTCAAACAGTTGAACAACTCTGTATTACGGTATATTTTATTCGATATCACATAATTAATTACTCACGCCTATTACCCCTTCTGGTGGAACATAGGCTGCCCACCAGCACTCTCCATTCAACCCTGTCCTGGGAAATGCTTTTCAGTTCTTTTCAGCTGCTATTCATCCTTTTCATGTCTGCTTTCAATTCCCGACGTAGTGTGTTTTTCGGCCTTCATCTTTTCCTCTCAGGATTTCAAATTAGCGCTTTCCTCATGATGCAGTTTGATGATATCTTCAATGTGTGTCCTATCCACTTCGGACGTCTTTTGCTAATTTCCACCTCAGCTGGAAGTTGGTTTGTCCTCTACCACAGTAGGCTATTGCTGATGGTACCCGGTCCAGGAACATTCAGTAAATTACATGGGCAATTCTTTATAAATACTTGTACGTTTTTGATTCGTGTTGTAGTAGTCGTCGAAGTTTCAGCTCTACACTGTAGGACTGACTGTTTTGACGTTTGTATTAAAGACTGATATTGGTTGGAAGTTGTTTTGAGTTCCATATAGTCTTCAACTGTAGGAATGCTGTCCTTACTTTGCCAATCCTCGCCTTTATGTGATTCAATATCCTATAAATATTAATAAATGTCTAAATCCATTACCTTTTACTGATTACTTTTATTCATTTGAAAGATTTTAATATTTCTATGGTTATACTTTATCTGAATAAGATAATTTATCCATGGAGTTCAAACGATTGACAAAAAATTCAAATTACACATAAGAGTCAATCACAACCTATGTAAACATAATAAACTGTTCATTACCAATGGGAAAATTCTAATAGCCTATTTATTCCCCAGTTTTGCACTGACGATGATGTCAAGCAAAACTTTGAGAGTCTTACGGTAAAAAAAACAATCTAGTAGAGAGGAAAGTTCTTCAACATAATATATCTTATTTTCAATTGCGAGGTTTTATTACGGTTAAAATGAATTGAACCATAGTAGATGGTATATTCACTTAGTTGGCAACAATACTTTATTCTAAATGTTTGTATAAATTATATTATTCTGATCAAAATTACATAAATGTAATTCAGTTGAATATCAGTCATATCCATTGTCCTTAATGCAGTTTATGAAATGTCAGTCAAAGTATTTCACAGAAATAAAAGGTCAAAATGATTTATAACTTGATAAACTAATTCACAGAATAATTCTGATGAAAATTTTATTTACATTAAGGCTAGTGAAGCACACGTTAATTGATTTATGAAGATTGAATGGGATGGGAAATTTACATTTATAATTGTAAATCTGGAAAACGTATCAGACAATATGGAAACATAGGTTCTTATTGAAGTTAGAATGAGAGATTTGTGTGTGTAAATTTATGGAAAATCAAATCTTGTCCTTCATATATCATATAATTTGTCTTGATTATTTGTGGTTATTTTGAAGTTGTATATCATCAAAAAGGTTACTGGTGAAATGTATTGAACTACATATAAATGTATGTTGAAGTACGAATCCATTTTGGTGTAACGTATTCTCTACAAAACTTATAAGGATGTACCAGAAGAGTTTTTTATAGATATTATAGTGATTCTAACAGTTGAGGTCATAAATCATGAGACTGATGGGTCCTGGGTTCGAATCTCGTCAGGCGAGATCGTGGATTAGGACGAAACGACCATCCAGTGCTTCCAGGTTTTCCATGGTGGTCTATCTCCAACTGACTCATGATCTCAACTATTAAAATTATTATAAGGATGTGTTTTACTCCCACAAAATGCTGAAATTTTAAAGTATTAAGCGATTCAGGGCTAAAATAAACTGAAACTTCAGTGTAATTAGATTTCACGGAAATTGTTAAGATATAAAACAAAATGTAGATCAAAGGACTTATCTGACACCTCTTTTCATTTAACATTGAACACAATAACTTACCTTTGTAATAACATGATGAAAGTGAAGAATAAAATTTATTGAGAATTCAATAATTATCAGAATGAGTTTTGTGGATATTTTAGGAAATTTCACAGGTTGAAATCATGAGCCAGTTGAAACTGCTGAGGAGTCCCATCCTAGGACAAAACGGCCGTCCAGTGCTTCCAGGTTTTCAATGGTGGTCTAGCTTCAACTGACTCATGA